CAAGTACGAAAATATAATCCGTGCAGTTTATACATATAATGTCTTTTTAAGTATTGCAGAAAAAATAGGAGGAGCCTAGAAAGGAGCCCATCCGATCCCTTTTTTAAATATAGTTAAAAACTTATTTTAAACCGGATCGAAGCAAGTCCTTGAGGACGTGAAGAGTCTATATCTTACCTACATATACGCCAGAAATCCATATACAGGGTGAGATGAAAAAACTGCAACCAACTTCAGACTGCTGTTATTTCTAAATCACTCGTCCGATAGATGTTAAAAAAGATGTGACAGCTCATTATATTGTTTACAAGCGTACAAAAGTATTTTGGTGAGAATTTTCCAGAAAAAAAGTTATTCGTGATGGAATTCAAGTGTGATACCTTTATATTTGGCTGAAAAACCACAAGTGGCTATCGTTAGAGCATTCCAGCATTTAAATGTGAATAAATCTTTTGTGTCTCGTACCAATGCTCCTTCCCGTGATACTGGTAGCGTAGCCCGACGCCAAGGAAGTGGACGGAAGAAAACAGCAACATCATCTTAAATGGTTTGAAAAGTAAAGAAGCGACTTAATCGAAAAATGGCTCGTAAGCTGAACATATCGCAAAATTCCATTCGGCAAATATTAAAAAATGAGCTCGGGGTAAAGCCATTGAAATGTCAAAAAGTCCAAGAACTTACACCGCAAGAGAAAGAAAACAGACTCAAAGGAGCTAAAGAGTTGATTCGCTTAGCCGAAAGTGTGAAAACTGACGAATTTGGCTTTCTCCGATGAGGAAACATTATAATAATAAGGAATATATATTTTTAAAATTACGACCATTTGTGGGGGAGGTACCAGAAGAAGTGGACCGATATACTCCATCTTTACACCAGACCTTGGGCTAATAAAATGATTGGGATGTGTGAAATTTGAAGACAATCGCACTCTTACATCACATTTTATGAGAGTTGTAACTCCTCAAAATTTTGACCATTTGTGGGGGCGGCACCAGACCTAGCACCGATGCAAATATTAGAATTTGCAAAGTTGGAGCAAAATCGGATTATCCTTTCTGTTTCTGACCTTTTTTGAGGGGAGGGGTTTACCAGAAGGAGTGGACCGATATTGCCCATCTCCGAACTCGATCTAAGTTTGACGAAGATATTACCATGTACCAAGTTCGGACCAAATCGGATACTCCTTTCGAGAGTTATCGTGCGCACCAGTCAGCCAGACAGACAGACAGACAGACAGACGGACGGACGGACATCGCTAGATCGACTCCAAATGTTCTGAAACGGATTTGGTCCAAAGAGACCGTTATTTCGACTAATCACGTTTTGACTGTATCAAATGATATATACCCTCTGTGGCCATATGGCTGAGGGTATAATAAGTCGCCAACATGATATATAAATTGTCCTTAAATACGTAAAAAGTAAAATCCCATTCCCTTTATGTTGGTGATTATAAAAAAAATTCAACTGAAACCACTGTTCACCTGACAATGACCATATTGAGGGCCTCGCCTCGCCTCCTATGTGTGCTAACACATTTTTGCGTATTTTCGTATTCAAGGTGTAATGGATGGGCGGTTAGATTAGTTGGTTGTTTCGTTCATGATTCATAGGAAAGCTCATAAAAATGTGATAGAAACCAAACAACTTTGATTATAAACTGATGTTGGTAAACTTTTCATGGAGATGACGATGGCAATGATGAAGATGATCACAACCAATTAATGTTGGTATAATAATAATGACCATCCATAAACATTTACACATACATACAAACCCGGCGGGATGATGTATTTCATTTTGGTAAAGACTTTGGCTTTAACAATTTTTATTGGGTATTTAGATGATTCCTGCGTGTAACCCCCTTAGCCGCCCATCTACCAAGTTTATTAGCATTTATTGACAGGTCCATTGTAGGTATGTGTTTTGAAGGTGGGGGGGAGGTGTGCTATTTTAGCTGGGGATAATATCTTAAAGTTGAGATTCTTTGCGATTACCACAACTTTTCTGTTTTGCCGGTTTATGTGGATGGCTCTTTTTATTGAGGTTAATGGGTAAACTTCACATATTCTTGAAGGTCGTAGCTTGTTTTGGTATTTATTTTGTTTGTTGTCTATGTGTATGTATTTATACCTGAATGTGTGTATGCGTTTGCTATTTTGCAAAATTGCTCAGCCATACGACGTGATTTGGGTTCTTTAAGTGTCCGCTTTATGACTTTGTCAATCTTGTGGGTTGGCTGGAGAAATGTTATCAACCATTCCCCACTTACAAAGATATGTACGTATGTAGGCAGGAATGTGGTTAGATAGCTTTATATGTATGTATGTATGTAAATGAATGGATTCCATAGACAAGAGGAATTTCGATTTGGCTCTTTTATCTGCTGCAAACGTATTTAAAATCTTTCTGCCACACAAAATCATGATTAATTATAGAAAATTGTCTTCGAACAGCAGAAGAGATTTCTTAATATTGATTAATGATCGTGATGAAATAGAACATCGTTACCGTTATGACGATATCCAAAAATAGACGAAACAAAATTGGTATTGAAATGTTTATCTAGTTTATGAAAGCAATCAATTAATATTCATTATGAGAATATTTTTATTAGGTCATATTATTAGGTGTATTGATGACAGCTTGACGATTCCAAGACTAGGGCGGACTATTGTTTTCTTTCAGAGGAGGGAATATATAAATTGTATTTTTTCTTGATCAGTGTATGAATTTGAACAAATTTAACAATGTTCCCCTCTCTGTCTGACAATGTGCCAAAATCACGATACAAATTACAATATTTATGATAAATCTTTGTAACATTGTTTCAGGATGTTTGGTATCGAAAACGGTTCAGAAACATTAAATACATCAGCCTCAATTTGCTGTAATTTAGTATTTAGAGTTCTAAGTATGTAGAATCTTTTTCTGCCGGAATTTTCAATAAAATGTCCTGCAATTTGGAATTTTAGGTTGTAGGAGAATGAAACACCCTCCATGTAGAAAATATCACCCTCCATGTTTTTCTACGTATCTTTATTTGAGTTTATTCCCAATGTTGCGGTACCTCCTGATATTTGGTCTTTCTCAAAGTTTCCAATTTCCAATTCTTAGCATTAAAGTTGGTAATTTAAAAATTTTAGTTCTCATAGAATGGAAACATCCTAATATTACAGGGTGAGGTAAAAAAACGACACCAAAGTAAAACGCAATAATTTTTGCATTTTTTTTTAATGTTATTGAATGAAAGCAAAAAATGTCGGAAATAACATCAAATTTTAGAATAAATTTAGATTTGTTCGAATTGGTCATCTTGGCACGAATTATAGCCTTCAAACGGCCAATGAAACCGTCACACGCTGCCCGAATGTTGCTCTGCAGTATTTTGACCCATTCCCGGCGAAGCGCTTGCTTGAGGTGATCGACACTTTGGTATTTTTTAGTGCCAACCTTGCTTTCCAAAATACTCCAGAAACAAGAGAGATTTTGGTGGTCATTGTGCGCTAAAAATGAAGCGTGGAACCTCATTTTGTAACCATTTTTGGGTGCCGAGTGCTGAGTGCGATAGTGCTAAGTCCTGTTGGAATGTCCAAGGTCTGCGGCCAGAGTGTTTGCATACCCAAGGCTTTAATACACCCTCCAGAATATTTTCGTGACAATATTCGGCATTTATTCTGATGCCACGGTCAATTAATTCGACCTTATAGCGAACATCGGCAGTTATGGCGGTCCACACATAACCATGGCCGGCGCTTGAGTTCTGGTGGCCAACCGAAGGCGCACATTTTTAGCTGACCTCTTTGGCAAGTAAACACGATCATTTTGTTTGTTTAAAAACTGCAGGACAACGAATGTTTTCTCATCGGAGAAAACCAAATTCGGCAGTTTACCACTTTCGGCCAAGCGAGGCAACTCTTTAGCTCTTCTGAGTATATTTTCTTTCTGTTGCGGTGTAAATTCTTGCACTTTTTGGAATTTCAATGGCTTTACCCCGAGCTCATTTTTCAATATTTGCCGAATGGAATATTGCGATATGTTCAGCTCACGAGCCATTTTTTGGCCACTGCGTTGCTGTTTTCTTCCGTCCACTTCCTTGACGTTGGGCTACGCTACAAGTATCACGGTAATAGTACGTTTATATATATGAGGGTTAACCCACTGGATTTTGATTTAAATTGTCATATCCATTACTTTTACTTCAAATAAATCCTCTCAAAGTAGGTTTACCCTACAAAATGTCCTAACGTAAACATGGCATAAGACACCAAGATTATACCTTTCGGCTACAGAGGGTATATATAATTTGATACGAGCAAAGTCCACTCCAGAGTCGCTCTAGCTATCAACAATTCAATTTTGATTAAACTTAGATCGAATTCGAGGATGAGAAATGGCGTTTATTCCTCTCCTTCTTTACAAATTTTCAAAACTTTCAAAAATTACTATATTTCATAGAAAACAATGGGACCATCGTATGTGGTTAAAATTTCGCATTAATTAAGATTTTTTGGAGCAGGTATGAAAATAAACAAGACCTAGTATATTTCTTCTTTTAACTACCCATAAAGGGTCAACATTTTAAATAATCTTAACGAGAAATGTTCCACCGATTTTCTTCTAACTAAATCTCAATATTTCTATCAATCCTTATATCGGTCCACTTTTTCCGTGTCTAACCCAACAAAGTTCAAAATTCTTAAAATGAATATATTTTATATATCATTTAATGCACCTGGAGGATGGTTCTCGCTCATTCTCCAATAAAGGTCAAAATTTTGAATAAAAATTATTATTACAATTGAGAAGAAATTGATGCTCGTTTTCCCCATTTTCGTATATGCCAATATCTCGGTCAATATTGCATCTGGTGCTTGGATGGAGTATATCGTTTCACTGATTTAAGTAGTACTTCCCACAGAGAACAGTCAAAATATGGATTTTAATAAATCACAAATAATTTCGAAAAAAATTAAAATTTCTCTTCTCTCATCTTACAGGCGAAATTCGTTCATCAATAGCTCCACGCAAACCTGAACGTACGGCCAGTATGCGTGAACGTGAGGCCCAATTGGAATTGGCACGTAAACGTCATATTGGAATAAATCAACAGCCCAATGGAAACAACAGCAGTACTAACAACAACAACAAGGAAAACGCTGATACTCTCTCAATTTGCTCGTCAAATGGTGAAAATGTATCTGCGGATCAACAACATTCCACAAATCCCAATGGTTCTAACAATGCAGCAACAACAACACCAATCATTACAAATAACAACAAACAGCAACAAAATGCCATTAAAAATATACAAAGTCCACAATTGGGTGGCATCGCCGCCGCCGCCTCACGTCATGAAGGTAAGCCACCAACCGCGAACAATGGTGGTGGTGGCAGCAGTCGCACCAGTACCTTCGAACGCAAGAAGAACGAAGCGAAACCAACAATGTCCAATAAATTGGAAATATTCGAAACAGCACAACAAATTAACAACTCCAACAGCAATAACAATAGCAACGCATCCGATACTTGTTCGATCAAGAGTGACAGTCGTACGAATAGCCTTAAGGACACGGTACGTAAAATCAACAGTACCATTGATAATTATCTCAAGGATAAGAGGGACTATGAGAATATGTATGAAATGGTTAAGAGCCCATCATCGCCACCACCGCCCCCGGCCAGGTCGGCGGATTTACAGGCCTCCCAGCGCCTAATGCAGGCAAGACGGCGGGAAAATCTCCAATTGGATACCATATCTGTGGCCAGTTATACACGCAGTGAATATGGACCGGTGAGGCCTTATGGCCTCAACAATAGTTTGGGTGAGTAGTTGAGATTTGTACAACTTTTCCACAGAGATTAATGGATTTCATGATGTTTATTTTTCTCTGCCAATTTTTTTCTGGCTTTTGTTGTTTTTCCAGCGAACATTCCCCGCATGATTTCAGCTTCATATTGTGGCAGCGAAATGGGTGATTTGGATATTTATTCACCCTACAGTTATTATGGCAGCGAAGCGGGCGGTGATATCTCAGCCGATATAAATGACAGTGTTTGGGGTATACCATCGGTGAGTTGGAGACGATTTTGATTGTGTGGAAAATAAATAATTAAAAATGTTTCATTGTTTTTGTTACAGGGCATGAAAACCAGAGTTAAAGCTACAAATCGTTTGCGCATGCGCAAAGGTCGCAGTGTTGTCCACAAAACCATCGAGGACAACTATTCAGCTGTTGTGGGAGCCAATCATGAGGCATTGGCACAAGTTTTAGAGCAGGTGAGAACACATTTGGAAATTTCACTAAAGGTTCAAAGGTCACTGTCAATCTTATTTAAGGCCAGTTTGCACATCGTGTTAGTGGTATGTAAAGTGGTCTTTTAATATTTTATAATTAACGTTTTTTTTTGTAGTAGGACTGTAAGTGCGCCCTACGATTTTTAAATTAAAACGAAACTCTATATGTAATATATTTATATTACATTAATACTATGAATATATTAATGTATACTATCCCATAAAGCGTTTTCTTGCAGATAACAATGTTCAAGGCGCCTTAAAGTATGTTATACAAATGCTTAACATCTAGAAAATGTTGCTTTACATATGACTTTAATTTTATATATATATACTAACCCTTTCTTGGAATTATTGTAAAAATCCCAAATTTTTACATGTCGATTAATATTTGGTAGTTAGGCTTGGATTGGTATAAACTCCATCATAAGGTTGTAGCTCTGGGTAACATCTCGTTTAGAGCAGCATGAGCACATTTACACAAAATGCTCATGGGTTCATCTTCGATTTATTGAATATACTGGAAGCGATGGAAACAAATCAAAAATTAATATTGTTTGTCAAGTTGCAATTAAAAGGTGGGATGCGGTATTCTAACGTTTAACTGATCAATAGAACGAATTTCTTCAAGAGGACCAAACTGGATGGAAGACTCTTTTGAAGTCCTTTTGGTAGAAGGCCTACATATTTTCCATGGAAAAGACCTCTTTGACAGATAGAAGTATGCTACAGACAAAAGATATTTTCGAAGTTGTCTAAAAGTCCCATATCTAACGGATGAACATTTATGGACCGTAAAACTTCAAGTGGTCTTTGGGGCTTCTTACTCGCCCTACATGCAGAGTATCCTCCAGAAATCTTTTATCGACACAAGTCCTCCGAAAAGAAATTCTCCATAATTTACAAAACTTCTAGACAGAATACCTATAAAGGTTCTCTAATATCTTCTATTTAAAAGATATTCCGTCTTTAGAAGCTCTTCTATACATCGAAAACTGTGTATTTCTGTAGAAAACCCCAAAGGTTTCATCTATCTACAGGAGCAATATAGATTGTATTTTAAAATGTCTTCTGTGTCTATCGAAGACTTCCAAAAGGTCTCGTGCCTACGGACTATTTGTAAACAGAATACTCTCTATTAAAAACCTTTTCTTCAAAAGAATTATAAAAAACCTTAATTTTATTGAATGTTTTGGAAAATCCTCTCTCAGCAGGAGACCCTAAAAAGTCACTGTCTAATGAATCCTTCTCAAAGGATTTTATTTTATAGAAGCTCTCTGAAAGGTCTTCCGTCTACAAAAGAACTCTAACAGATAATGTCTTAATTCTAGAGAACAGATTTAAATTTTGCTTCCAGATATCCCTGCAAAGGTTTAATAGCTATTAAATAGCTCTATAAGATTATCTCTCTTAATAAGGCCTCTGATATATAATCAGGAAGGTGTTATGTGAAATGAAAAACCTCGAAACGATCTTCTGCCTCCAGATAACATATTGTAGGTCTTAATACTAAAGAAAAACTTTAAAAAGTCTTCCACCTACAAGTGAATTCCAAAAAGCATTTTATCCTTCTATCCCTTGAGCTATCCGCAGTTCATTTGAGTTTATGTAAAATTCTCTTACAAAGCATAATTTAAAAGAAATACAAAAATGTTCCCCAAGGAATTAAAAAAAAAAATAAAAATATGTGGTAGATGGACCTTGCCCCACTCTTTTTGCTTTATTTGCCATGTAAACTTTTAAAATGCCGATAAAGGTGTCTTCTGATTCTAGCTTTATGAGAACTTAAGGAATATTTATGTTCTGGACAGTTCCAGTAAATGGCTCCCATCGGTCGAGTTATCCAAAGGCATGTTTCTGCTTATAAAGATTTATGTCATGAAACATTCTATAGAATAATATAGATAGTGTCGCAAAAATAATCTGAAACGACAGTTTTTAAGGCTACTTGATTTCCACTCTTTTCTCCAGTCGTATATATTTCAAATAATATACACTACCTCTATTGTTTCCTATAGATATCCAATAACAAACATCATTCCATCTTTCTTTTTTTTTCAGCTCCAACAAACTCCCATTATACCACCAGCCCTGAGACCACTTGCCAATGCCATAAATTTGCGTTTTGAAGATTTCACCATACTGGAGGGAGCCCAAGCTTTTGTGGTCGGCAAAAAAGCATTCCATGCTGCTCTATGGACAACAGCACCAGTGACATTGGCACTTTCGGCCGATTGCAATCAATTGGCTGGAGTAGGCGGTGAATTAAGTCAACTGTCCGGTGGTGTATCGGGTGCTCTAAATCCCATTACCGAATTTTGTGATGTTGTGCCCAGTTATCATTTGCCATTAATGCCAAGCACAGAGATGACATTGCTACAGGCCACAATCTCGGTATTGCCACGTCTGCAGTTGGATACATTGCAGTCGATAGGAGCCATACTCAAGGGTAAATCCCATGTCTTGGATAAGAGTAATTTCAATTTCCGTGGTTCAATACCTAATCTGACAATATTGAAAGATGTTGGAGGTGTTGTTAACGGCATCAACAACAACATGAGAAATGGCTTGTCCATTCAAAATCTAAGCACACTCAATGAAGAAATTGGTGGTGGTGGTGATGTGAGTTTGAAATTGCCCGAACAACAGCAACAGGAACACAATTCAGCTGGCAACGGCAGCAATGGCATGCCAGCCTTCGATGATGTCATGACCCGAGAGGTGGCTTTCATTATGCTACAACTTATCAATGGTATGAAACATTTGCAAGTCAAAGCTGTCGAAGAGATGCCTTTGAGTTTGTCGAATGTGGTGCTATCCAAGGAGTATGACAACAAAGATGCCCAGGCGCGTTTATGTGTATTACAGGGGTGAGTATTGATTCCGGATTTAGTTGGACACCTTTATTATACAAATAACACTTTGCAACATTATAACAGGAAAAGTTCAGTAATACTTTAAGAATTGCTCTGAAAACCCAAGATCGACTCAAGGTATTTCCTAGACAGAATCATTTTTAAAAAAAATACATTTCAGAATACTTATTAAAATAGATGACCTTTCAGGGTTCTTCTTTAGAATCTAAAGGAGTTTTGGGAGGAGACAACCTTATACATATTTTATTATTATTATTTATTTTTTTTTTTTCTCGTAAATAGCCCTCTAAATGTATCTCATTTTATAGAATTCCTCTGATAGGCCTGCCGTCTTCAGAAGAACTCTAACAGAACATTTGCCATCAGAAAGCCTTTTAAGACCTTAATTGTATAGAAGAGCTTTAAAAATTATTATATTTACTAGAAGGTCTCCGTAGACATGCGATTCTTTATAGCTCTTTTGTATAAGTAAAACCTAAAAGGGATCTCCTGGAGGAAAAAGTTTTGTTAGAGACCTTCTGAAAACGTAAGACCTTTCAGAGGAGAATTCCTACTAGAGGGCTTGTATAGACAGAAAATCTTCTATTACAATTTCCAGATGTCTCCTTCCAGAACTTTCTACAGAGTTAAGACCTTTGCAGTTCTTCTGGAGGTTTGCCATATAGAAAAATCCTTTTGGAAATCTTTCAAAGGCAAAAGGTCTTCTGGGGGTATTTGACAGATAGAATACACTCTAAAGGTCTCCAGTAAGCAAACGAAATGTTTAGGGTCTTCAATATAAAGAAGAGAAGACCCTTAGAAGATTTACTCTTTTTAGAAGACTTTTATTATTGAATTTTTTTTTTTTTTTTTTTTGGTTTGAAGCTGTTCGGTCTCTAAAAGTCCTGCTTACTGAAGACCCCCAGTAGATCTTCTGTTTTCTCGAGAATGTCTGTCTTTTTATACCCTCCACCATTCTTTCGTTTGTTAGTCCTCGAAATATTTATAATATTCCCCATGTGACGGTACCTCCTGATATTCGGTATTTTCATAATTTTAGCGACGTTATTTACAAGAATTATTTCAAATTTCATATTTAAAGTTCGTAATGGGTACTACAGCCTATGACAAAAATTTGTGTATTCAAGTCCACGTCTTCGTATATCCCCCATACAACGGTACCTCCAAATAGTCGGTATTTTGATGATTTCAGCAACATTATTTACCGGAATCTTTTCAAATATCGTATTGGAAGATCTTAATGGGTACTACAATCTATGACCAAAAAATTTCGTATGCAGGTCCACGTCTTCGTATAGTCCCCATATAACGGTTGTCATATAAGTGATAGTTTTCGGATATTTTTTTAAATTTTTTCAAGTTCCTTCTAAATGGTGGAGGGTATTAAATGTTCGACCCGAACTTAACTGCTTTTTTACTTTTTTTTTGTTTTCTGAAGGTCCTCTACCTGTAAATTGCTTGGAAAATTTGTCTATAGAATACTTTTCCCTATCAAAGATGACCTTTCTATGGAAAATGTGTGGGTCTTCCATACGGCTTCCATTAAGAATATTTAAGGCTTTTTTGGAACGCCAGAAAAAAGAGCCGCCTCCTTTTAAATCCCTCTTAACCGTCAATATTAACTTTTGCTTTTCTCTTTCCATCGCTTCTAGTACTCAACAAGACGAAGATGAACCCATGGGCACTTTGTGTAAATGTGCCCACGCAGCTCTAACCGAGATGTTGCCCACAACCAAAATGACACCCATTGTTGCGGATATTCTGAAGCAAGATCGCTCCGAATCTCTTTCGAAATCGAAATCTGTACTCGAATACATACTGTGGGGTCCTTCGGATGTGGTACTTACCGGTTCGACAAAGGAACGTGAAACAGCACTACAACGTTGGTTGGATTTGGAGAGGGCCACCGTGCTGCATGGCCTTGTGCGTACACGTGTCGAATTGACAGTTTACGATGAATGTCATTTGATGTTTTTGGTGCGTTCCACGGCGAAAATTATGAATGATGCAGCAAAAATCATTGCCAATTACCAGGAGCAACAGCAACAGCTGCAGCAACAATAATGTTTAACAAAATCTTGTGGATTCGAAATCCAAAATTAGTTTTTAATTTAGGAAATATTTATAAATATTAAAAAAAAAAATAATATTTTATTCATCAAATAGTTTGCTTTGAAAAAAGCCTTAAAATAAAATATCAAATATTATTGTCACTTTCAATTTCAAGCTTGCCCTTGAAGCGTAAGCGTGTGCCAAATTTTCATATCTGTTTAACGTTTAACCTGCTCCCTTAAAATTCTCTTTAAATTAATATTTGTTATGATATATACTTTTTCATTTCATTTCGTTTCGTTTTTTTTAATTTTATTCTTGTTAAATTGTAAAATAAAAAGAATTAAATGTGAATTTTATAAAAAAAATCTTATTTTTATGTTGTTGCAGAAAAAAGAATACTTAATTACTGTTCTCTCTCCATTTATCTGCAAAAATCAATATAATAATTATTTTTAATACTTGTGTACATTTATATGAATATTTATGTTAATTTCTATTATTATTTTTTTTTCATTTAATATTATTAATTAATTTTTTTATAATAATTGGTGTTTGCGAACAAATTTATGAATATTATATCGAATCGAATTATTGTAACGGATACAAGCATACATACATATACAAACATTATTATATTATTTTGTAATAATAAACAAATATTTATATTATTATATATTTAATTAAAAACAAGTTGTTGTTGTTGTTTTATTTGACTAGCTGGAATAAGGATGTACTTTCTTTATTTGATTTATTTCCATTAAAAAATATTTTGCGAAATGTCTATATATTTCACCAAATGAATTGCCATTCATCTACTAAATAGTTTTCTGGCTATAGGTGATATTGAAATGCAGGGTGAGATGAAAAAAACTGCAACCAATTTCAGACTGCTGTCATTTCTAAGCCACCCGTCCGAAAGCTGTTAAAATTATTTCAGTGACAGCTCATTATATTGTTTACAAGCGTACGAAAGCATGTTGGTGAGAATCTTCTAGAAGAAAAGTTATTCGTGTTGGAATTCAAGCGTGTCTTTTGGGTCTCGTACCATCGCTCGTGATTACTTGCCAAAGAGGTCAGCTGAAAATGTGCACCTTCGGTTGGCCACCAAAACTCAAGCGCCGGCCATGGCGATGGTGTGGGCCGCTATAACAGCCTATGGTCGCTCTTCGCTCGTATTAATCGATCGTGGCATCGGAATACATGCCGAATATTATCGCGGAAACATTCTGAAGGGTGTATTAAAGCCTTGGGTACGCAAACATTTTGGCCGCAGACCTTAGACATTCCAACAGGACTCAGCACCATCGCACTCAGAACGCGCCACCCAAGAATGGTTACACAATGGCCACCAAAATCTCCGGATACCAATCCGTTAGAATATTGTGTCTGGAGTATTTTGGAACACAAGGTTGGCTCTAAAAAATACCAAAGTATCGATCACCTCAAGCAAGCTCTTCGCCGGGAATGGGCCAAAATACCGCAGAGCAACATTCGGGCAGCGTGTGACGGTTTCATTGGCCGTTTGAATTCGTGCCAAAGATGACAAGTTCGAACAAATCTAAACTTATTCTAAAATTTGATGGTATTTCCGACATTTTTTGCTTTCATTCAATAAATTGAAATGAAAACAATGTAAAAAGTATGGCGTTTTACTTTGTTGCAGTTTTTTATCTCACCATGTATATTTTACATACCTTTGGAACCCTAAATATGAACTGTCTTATGGCAAAAATCTATTATTATTTTATTGAAACTACGATGGAACATTACAAATATTTATTTGTAAGAACATTCTGCCAAAAAACAATATATCTATTCATCCTCAAAGACCACCAACATATATATATATCCAATTCCGTATCACTTTTCACCTCAAGTTGATTGTCAAGTCTGGGTTGCAGTCAGTGGCAATCTGTCAATTTATTTTCATTTGAGATATTTATTCCTCATAAAAACGGAGCATACTTTGAGGAACTAGTAAAAAATAAATTTGCCTTAAAGTACGCTTTTCATTTATACCGTGTTAATAGACTGCACACAAATATCATTTTTCGGCAGACCAATCCTTCACTGGGTGATTTCTGTATACTAGGCAAACAGAAGTAATTAGTAAGCGCATTTGTGGACATGTCGTATTTCAAATTGAAATATCTCTAGAACTACTTGAGCGATTTTTGTCAACTTTTCGTCAATATGTGGAGAAAATATTAAAGTTATCTTAAATGTAGACAGTTAATGGAAATTGTATAGTTTTATAAGATAAATTGGCGAATGTGTACAACCTTGGAAAAGCTGTTGGGAATTGATTAAATTTTAAAAAAATGTGAAAATATACATAATATCTGGAAGTGACAGATTATATACTTCGCAAAATAACATAATGGAAGGGAATTAGAAGACAGTTTCCACACAAAAGGCCACAATGTGCTAAGGTGTTCCAATTAAGTTCCAATGGCCAAAAATGAATTTGTTATTTTTAATACATATTTGCGAACACAATTGTTAAATACAGACTTAATAGATCGTAGCAAAAAGTGCATTTTTGCAAATAGGAGTTCTCTCCAATAGAAAATAGAAAAAATCTTTCTTTCATTTTATGTCAAATTCGTAGGAGATAGAATGCTTAAATATTTTTTTATTTTTTTATTTTTAAAATTCTATTTTTATATAGGCTTTTAAATTTCTAGCTATAAAATCGAGCCGGATGTCATATAGATAAAAATTATGAATAAAAAATTGTTCAGAGAGCTCCTGGAGACATTGATAGAAATTTTAGCTCTATATCTTCTCATGTTAGAGTCTGGAGGCCGATTTTTCTTCGAAAATGAGCAAGGAGTGGCCATTACGTTATCGGGCCATATTTAACGAATTTTTGTTTACAAAAATTGAAGTGGAGGATATTGGCAATAATAACAGCTGAAGTTACGGTAAATGTTGTACAAAATTTGTTTTCGGAGGTGCTTCCTTAAATACTCATCATATACAGGGTGAGTTAAAAAAAAACTGCAACAAATTCAGAAGCCAAAAGTTTTACATATTTTTTTTTTTTTTAAATTTTATTGAATACAAACAAAAAATGTCGGAAATATCGTCAAATTTTAGAATAAGTTTAGATTTGTTCGAATTGATCACCTTTGGTCTGAATTATGGTCTTTAAACGGCCAATAAAACCAGCACACGCTGCCCGAATGTTTCTCTGCGGTATTTTGGCCCATTCCCGGCGAAGCGCTTGCTTGAGGTGATCGACACTTTGGTATTTTTTAGTGCCAACCTTGGTTTCCAAAATACTCCAGACACAATAGTCCAATGGATTCGGCATTTATTCTGATGTCATGGTCGATTAATACGAGCGTAGAGCGACCATCGGCTGTTATGGTGGCCCACACCATCACCATGGCCGGCGCTTGAGTTCTGGTGGCAAACCGAAGGTCCACATTTTGAGCTGACCTCTTTGGCATGTAAACACGATTATTTTGTTTGTTTACAAACTGCGGGACAAGGAATGTTTTCTCATCTGAGAAAGCCAAATTCGGCAGTTCACAATTTTCGGCCAATCGAAGCAACTCTTTAGCTCTTTGGAGTCTATTTTCTTTTTGTGTCGGTTTTTTCACTTTTTAGAATTTCAATGGCTTTATCCCGAGCTCATTTTTTCAATATTTGTCGATTGAAATATTGCGATATGTTGAGCTCACGAGCCATTATTCGGCCACTGTGACGCGGGTTTAGATCAATTCGCTTCTTTACTTTTCGAACCATTTCTGCTGATGTTGCTGTTTTCTTCCGTCCACTTCTTTGACGTAGGGCTACGCTACTAGCATCACGGTAACGAGCGATGGAGCGAGACACAAAATATTTATTCACATTTAAATACTAGAGTGCTCTAACGATAGCCACTTGTGGTTTTCCACCTAAATATAAAGACATCACACTATCCAGCTTGAATTGCAACACGAATAACTTTTTTTCTGGAAAATTCTCAACAAAATACTTTTGTAAACAATGTAATGAGCTGTCACTGGAATAATGAATTAATTTCAGCTGTCGGACGAGTGCCTTAGAAATGACAGCAGTCTGAAGGTGGTTGCAGTTTTTTGATCTTACCCTGCATGTATCACATAATCTAAACCCAAGAGAGAAATACGTTTTAATAGATTTCATAAATTCTGTAGTCATAAAATTCTACTTCAAATAGCTGTGTGATAGTTTATCAAAATTCAGCGAAGTCAGTTGTATTACATTGCTTATTCGAAAAAAAAAAAAAAAATAAAATTGCTAAAACAAGTAAACGCTAAATTTGAGTTCAAATACAAAAAATAATAATAAAAATTGAAGAATACGAATTGAATTTGAATTTGTGAATACGTAATTCAATTCGTATTCATTCAATTTTTATTATTTTGAAAAAATAAGTAAATAAAAATTCCATTTGTAAATTACCATAGCTTTTTGTGGCCACCTACACCAAATTTTGATCAATTCACCTGTAGAAATTAGGAAATTACCTCTTGTCTTCCAAAACATGTTTGCAAAAATTGCATATATGATATGCCACTTGTGTGTAAAAACCTCATCACAACTTCGCCCCACTTGGTTGCAGTAATACATAAATGAGCTTTTAGTGATAAATGTGTTGTAAATTACGGGTTTTTAAAAAAATTTCTAAGAAATTTGAATTTTTCTTAACTTCATATAAAATGGTAAATTTCTGCCACAAAACAAAACACCTTCAAATATATGTTAATATGCTACAAATCTACAATATTCAATCTCAACGTTAATGAAAAAATCTTGAATATCGGTTAAATATCTGCTGAGATATTTCAATTTGAATTTTACAATGTGTCAAAATAGCCCTACTCTTCAATTCTGGGCACCTGTTACGGCAAATTGTAAAACACCACAAAATCTGCCTTTTCAAGGGTGGGCATATTTAATGCAATGTTGCCATATTGTTCTCCAAGTAAGTTTATACTATCGTTTTGCAACAAATACTCAAAGCCTATTTTTAGGCGCCCATGAAAAATGAATTAAACATTCCCCTATCGTTGCATATGCATAGTTTAAAATGCAAATAAATTTAGTAATAATTAAGCGTTTATTAAGATTTCCTAAAAAAAGAAAACATTTTTATACCCTCTACCATACTATGGAGGGTATATTAATTTTGTCATTCCGTTTGTAACTCCTCGAAATACGACAGACCAAACAAAGTATATATATTCTTGATCAGCGTAAAATTCTAAGACGATTTAGCCATGTCCGTCTGTCTGTCTGTGAGTCTGTCTGTCTGTCTGTCTGTCCGTCTGTCTGTTGTAATCACGCTATCTTTCGAACAAATTGAGATAGAAGGCTAAAATTTTGCACACATGTTTATTTTGCCAGTAGGCAGGTTAAGTTCGTAAATGGGTCATGTAGGTCCAAGTTTTCATATAGCCCCCATATAACGGTACCTCTCGATATTCGGTATTTTGATGATTTTAGCGACATTATTCACCGGAATTGCTTCAAATTTGGCATTTGAAGTTCGTAACAGACACTGCAGCAGAAAACAGAAAATGCGCCATGTAGGTCCACGTCTTCGTATAGCCCCCATATACCGTACCCCCCGATATTCGGTATTTTGATGATTTTAGCGACATTATTTAACGGAACCGTTCCAAATTTGGTATTTGAAGTTCGTAATA